AACTTGATTGGAATTATAACCTTGAATTGACAGTTTGATACTTTGAAAATTTTGAGCCAGCCCTACCCCCAAGGGCTGTAGGGTGGGGCTCAAAGGAGTCAGTGTGCTAAAATTTCTTCATTTTCCTTGTTTAGAATCAGAGGTGCTAGTTTCAAATCCTTTTTAATCTGAAATCTGTATGCTAGATATTGAATAAGGTGGTTTTATTGGTTTTTTTGTCACTTTGAATGATATTTCTGTTCATGTTAAAAACAAAATCAACTCTCTGTATAAATATATCAGGTGACCGTTAAGGCCCATGGGCCTCTTGTTTTTTTTTATCCAAGGGAGCCAAGTGTCAACAGAAATAATGTGCAGAGTGAATGATAAGGTGTGTATTTCTGGAGATATCTGTTGAGGGCCATGGTCCTTGTCATTCGACAGAAAATGTCACCTTGACCATGGTGACGCTTCAAAATTCGTGGAATTTGTGTATTAAAAGCACAAAAAAAGGTAAACCGTTAAACAACATCAATACAAGAACGGTGTACCATGGGCTACTAACCTACGTCACAGGTAGGCATTATGGACATAATTTGAAAGTATTTGATCTAAAACTAATACATGTCGCATCCAGAATCATGTTTTCTACATTCGTTCACTTCAGGAATATACTTTATAAATGCACTTTTTTACGGAAATCTTGCCCCTGAAGCTGTACGCACAAAGGTCGCTCAAAAAGTGTCCGTGATGATCTATTGTACATGGACATGAGAACTTGCAATACCATGTCAAATGAACAAAAGTACAAAATATCACATCTATGACATCAACACAAGGACACAAAATAACGTCAACACACTAAATACAAAACTGATATCAACACTATACGAGTAATAACTAAGACTATATGGGGTGGTTACGGTCTCTTATCCATGTGTATATGTTTAGGTGTTTACGTGATTATACATAAATAATAATAAAATACCGATATATTTTCCAAAGTTTACAAGTTCCAAAGCTTCTGCATTTTCCTTAAGTGTGTTCTTCATTTGATTAATATTGGAGTGTCCCACGCGCATCACTTTGCATTTGTCTGGATGAAAACGAAGATGCCAAGTCTCTGACCACTTTTAAATAGAAAATATATCCTGTTGTAAAATCTTACAATCTTGTTTATCATTGATTACCCTAAAAGCTTTCGTACCATCCGCGAAAAGGGATTATTCGTTCTGGAACTTGTTACATCAGGCATATCATTTATATAAAATTATAAATAAAAGTGGTCCTAAAACAGATCCTTGTGGTATGCCACTTTAACATGTTTCCATTCCGACCTTTCTCCATGTACGACAACCCTTTGGGTTTTTTCTAGTAAAAAAAAATCAGCCAATCCAAGAGGTGAATCTCCCCGATATTCCGTATTTGCTAGTTTATGGATTAGTTGTTGATGAGAAACTTTATCAAATGCTTTCATGAGATTACAATAAATAACATCAGTACATCCTCCTTGATCCAAAATTTCTGTCCACTCATCATTAAAGGGACATCACGTGAAGAGCCATATTTTTTTTAATGAATGTATGTATTGTATGCACTTTTATGTTACCTCGCTATGTCCAGTTTGACCACTTGAATTGTTCGGGAAAGCCCTGCTAAAAATAGGGCCGAAACGTCACCTGACTAGGCAGTAAACGCAAGCGGTCTGGGCGAGATGAAACGGTTTCCAAAGGGGCCCCCAGAGAGGGGCGTCAGGCAACTGCAACTTCTTAACGCACTATGAAGCCAAGTAATATGATTTCTAAGTCCGTATTAAAACTTATTGAACAGTAGTTATTCATCATAAGAAGTTAATTGCACACTTGCCAATATTGAGAATTTAAATTTATTTAGCTTTAAACATATTTGTTGCCAATTAAATTGAACATGGGATGGGGCACACGTTTCTACAATTTATCACAGCCTTCGCCCGTCATACATTTACAAGTAAATGTCAACAATGTTAATAGGCATTAACATGAAGTATATATATATAAATATATATTGAATTTAGTACCGGAATGTGACAACTGTACGGGGCTAAACACCTTTCTTCAACCATGGGACAAACCTTTCTGTAAAAGGAATATTCACGAGACGAATATCCCTTTTCAAATGTTTTCATAAAGTGCATATATGCAATGACAAACTACACCCGTATAAAAAAAGAGAAACGTTTGTGATTTTTTTTTATTACATTGTACAACTCAATATCTTTGGCCATTTTTTCTTTCTTTATCATGCATATATACATTTATGTATACTCCCTTTCCCACTTTTACTCTCTCCATACGCTAACACTTAGTAAGTCATATTAGCCATCACACACACTAAAATGTATGGCAAAACCACTACGTGTACATGTAGAATATGTGTCCGATATGGGACGTGTTGAGATACTTGATAAATTATTTTTTTAATACTTTTCATAGATTAAAGCATTCTTGTCAATGGACTCTTTTTCATGTTGAGACAACTTTTCTTTAATCATTTCATTTTTGTCCGAAACAGAAGCCGTAGTTATCGACAGCACGCGTCATTTTTACAACGTAAACAAATGTTTCTTCCCATGTTTTTAATACGTATTCCGATTCTATCTGAAAATTAATTCTTTATAGAGAAAAGGTTGTTACATGATCATACATTCTAAATCAACAACATATGAAAACATGAACTGTTGAAAAATCACGATTTAAAAAAAAAATACGTGATAGTTACTAGAAGTAGGTTCTCCTTCCTCAGTATTCATCCTGGCCCGTCATTTTGACATTTTTAATCTAGCTGCGATAATGTAGCTTTCTGACGACGAGAGATTTTTTTATATATTGTGTCGAAGCCGGGTATTCATACTAGTACCAATTTAAATCTTGTATGTAAAAACAAACAAAAAATTCAGCATGACAAAATCAAACTAACCAGTCACTTATCCCTTCCTTTCGCATAAACCACTGTATAATTATAGAAACACAAAGTAAACTCTCTCCGATACATGCTCATTGACATATTAAACTAAGTTCATCTGTGTTCAAACTCAGACAAAGATACTAGCGAGGTTA